GCGATTGAACAACAGAAAATGCAATAAAAATTTCAATATTAATATCAGATATAAAATAAATAATATCAGATATAAAAAGAGTTCAATGATAGCGCATCAATAGTATCATTAGATGGTATTTTTTATTTCTTTCACTTGTTTTCTTTTCAGTTCACAAATAGTGAAGTAATGAAAAGATAGCACAAAAAGGAAAGTGAAATAAAAGAAGAAATTCAGACAAAAATATTGAAGTATGATTGTATATGTATATATCAATAATCATAGCTTATATCAATAACCATAGCTTTTTTGTCGCACTAACAAATTACACATCTAAAACTGTATTTTCACTACTGATCCTCTTGCAATAATACTGAATTTATCAACAAAACTAACTTAGTAAGACTAAATTAAACTTATTAATTAGATTAAGTAAAAAAACATTTCTATACATTAAAATTATATTGAATATTATATTCTCAAAATTTTGATTTCTAAATTCAGTTCTTTTTCTTATTCTTATTTCCATAAAATTTTCTTTTGTATGTATTTTTACAGAATTTGGATTTCTAAAATTTAAAACTTTAATACTTTAATACTTTAATATGACTTCTAAGAGATTTCATATTTTTTGTTGAAGATAAAGGGAAAATAATTAAAAATTTTATTATTTATAAGTAAAAATGCAATTTGTAGACAAAGATGTCACACTCAAAGCACAGTTCTTAGCAAATATGTAGTAAATATTGCTATATATAAAGGGTTCAGAAAAAAATGGATCAAGTCCATTTTTGTTAATTGTTAGAAAATTAGTTTTAAAGTTAAAGTTGTTCTAATTATGTGCAACATGTACCCTGTTTTTCATAAGTACTATAGTTTCTTTTACTTTTAACTCAAATATTTGCACTTACTTTTACATAAATAATTCAGTCAAAACTGTTCAATTTTTTAAAATTTATACATGGATTTAAAGAAGGACTTCCAATTTTCCTCAGAGAATCCCTCATATAATGAGAAAAACAGCAGAAATATCAGTGTAACAATGCAAGAGAAAAGAAATAACTTTGGACTCACCAGTCGTTGTAGCTAAATACATCTTCAACTGTACCTGTAGAGAAATCAATATGTATTTAAATTATTATAAATTATCATATATTTTCTGTATATCTGATAATTACATATTTTAATTACTTCTGTTTTGATTAAAATGTAACTTACGCAATAAAATACGTGAATATTATTTAAAAATTGAAATTAATATTCAATAAAACTTTTCATCAATATTTTCATATATCTTATATCTATATAATATTTATTAAATATGAATTGTAATTGTGTATCACATTTATGTATGAATTTGAATAAAAAACAGATAATTGTACTCACCAGCTAAGATATTGCAGTTTGCTCCACCCGTTGCAGATTCCGCCTTAGATGTTCCGCATCAGTTCCATCAAAGAATCCATCGATGAATACCAGAAAAACACATTTAACTATACGCACTACTACCGATCGCGAACCACACACAAACGAAAGCCGATCCACGCACTTCACTTACGCGAAAATCACACGAATTTACGTCGCGAATTTACCGCGGTACACAAAACGCAAACGCGAGATAAAACGCGTTTTGTGTCCACGCATATATTGTCGTTTTACAATTTCGGTGCTCTGTGCACAAACTTCAAGCGAACGAGCGACGAGCAACGACCTTGGTGTAGAAGTATCGCATACCGACATGCAACCACGTTTCACCCAACCTCATTCTGACGAGCTGAATTTTCAACATGCTATGTTTTATGAAAAGAATCATGTACTTTACTTTGCGCTTAACCTTTCGAGCGGATATAACCTTCATCTTTGCAAATGAAATTGATGCTTCTACTCACCGGGTTCGCGACGAATACACACCGGTGTAAAGCCAGTTACAATCGACGAAACGCAGTTAATCGCGAACACCCACGATACAAATAGTACTTTCCAACCATTGTTCGTCACTTTCATCGGCACTACTGACAAAAATTTACATTCGTTACACATTTTTAGTGGGAAAATCGCGCGGGAATATTGCGCGGCAAAATCACGCGGGAATATTGCGCGGCAAAAACGCGCGGGAATATTGCGCGGAAATATTACGCGGGAAAAAGCACGATGACTTGCAAAACATATGACATGAACAACGTCTCAAGTCGAAATAATGAAGGTCTATTCAGATAAATTTGCATAAGTGCATATACATATGCATAAGGAATTGGATTGGTCCATTTCCTTATGCACTTTCTCATGAACCAATCCATTTCTTTATACATATGCATATACACCTATGCTAATTTGTCTGGATAGGCCTTACAGATTGTCATGGTCGGAAGATGGCACTCGTATCATTGATTATCGATAATTTAGTCGTAAAAATCGTATCATTTCTAGACTATGCGCGCCACCCTCCGGTCACTATGATAATCATTATTCCGTGTCACTTCGAAAGTTCGATAATCCGCCATTAATCATTGTATTTAGCCGTTAAAAGTGCGTAATGAGCGCGAATTTGTTTTGATAGTGCCGATTAAAGTGACAATCAATTGCCGGAGCGTGTTATTTTTACTGCGAATCAACCGCCGAACGTGTGAAACGTGTGAAATATGTGCGCCGACGTTGTGTGGCACAAAGCCAGTTTTATCTCGCGTTTGCGTTTCGTGTACCGCGGCCTGGCAAATTCGCGACATAAATTCGTGTGATTTTCGCGCAAGTGAAGTACGTGGGTTGACTTTTATTCGGTAGTGCGTGTAACCTAAATACAATTTTCCGATATTCATTGATTCTTCGATGGAGCTGATGCAAAACACAGTCTAAGGTGAATCAACAACTGTGTGATAGGTTATATGCAACAATCTAGCTGGTAAATATAATTATTTGATTATTATTAAAATATGCACACTTACACATATATAAATAATTGTGATAACATATACATATACAATTACAATTTATATTTATCATAAATATTTATTAAATATAATATATTTGAAAAGATTTATTAAATATGTTGACTATATATAAAATTTTATAAATAAATATTCACGCAGTTTATTGAATATAGTTATGTTTTAATCGAAATAGGAATAATTAAGTAATATGTAATTAACAACATATACAAAATATATGGTAACTTATAATTAAAATATATATTAATTTGCAGGTGCATATATTAAATGCAGGTACAGTTGCAAGAGCGTGACTTTAGGCTACAATAACCGGTGAGTAAATTGATTTGTTATACTTATTATACATAATTACACTGATATTATTTATTGTTTTTTCATTTGCATGCGTGCGCCAATATTGATTACATATTTGCTAAGAAGAACACTGCCAATTATGTGTTTTTCTGCAAATAGAAATTTTTAAAATAAATAAAATATAGAAGTACTTTTTCCTGCTTTAGCAGTAAAAAAATATTTAATTTTGCACATGTCATGTAATTTATTATGCTTAAATTAAAAAACTACAAATTATTGGACACATAGATTACAGAAAAGAAAATTTTATGGAAAAAATTATGAAACATAAATGTTAAAAAAAATTTAATTTGAAATTCTGAAGGTAGAAATTTTGAAGATATAATATTTAATATAATTTTAATGCACATAAAACATAAATATATTTTTTATTTTATCTTATAAATGAGCTTAATGATTGAATATTTTTGCAAAAGAATGAATTGTTAAAGAACGATTTTGAATGCACAATTTGCTAGTGCAACAAAAAAGCTGTGGTTATTGATATAACAATTAATCTAAATTCGCTTTCATGACATGCGTTATCAAACGTGTTCTTATTTTCGTCGAGCATTGTGAAATTTAAGAATTTTGCGACACACACACTTTGCGCCAAGTCTCTTCTGTGTAGTGATTAACAGAAGTGCTCTATCTGTTCTCACATATCTTTTGATTCATAATTAACCTTTCTAATTATCCCAATAATTTTTAGTTTTATTGTTTAATTTATAATTCATAATTGCGATACTTATTTTCCTTAATAAGTATCATTAATATTTGATATTTTATTTTGTGAATATTGTGAAAACATTTGCTCTGGAGTTTTAGCTAGTTTTTGATAGTTTCTGTTTTACTTTGATGTTCTTTTTTTTCCACTGCCGTGTGAAAAGCTGATGCGCCATTAATTGTACTCGTTTGCGAACTTTCAACCGGTCGTAGCCGTTAATTGACGCGATCAATCCTTTGCGCAGGCTATCGTGGAACACGCTTTCACGTTCGTCGTTGGCGCTATAACTCTGATTGTCAAAGTTCGAATCGTTAAAAAAGATTCAGAAACGCAGAAAAAATAACGGTGTGCGATATTTCATCGTTTACAGCGGTATTTACTTTCTTTCTTTTTTCACTTTTCTGTCGGATGAATAAAAATATGTCGCGTAAAAAAGAGGAAAAGGCGCTCACTTTGACATGTTTTTGGCTTATAAAAAAAGCAATGCGTAGCATAGTCCGCGCGAATCATACTTTATCATAATATATTATTATACGTAATAAAGATTAGTGGCAACTGTGCAGATGTGTCGGATGTTTCACGAATAAATTATATAGATCCTTCGTGAAGAATACCGCCCTCCTTGGTTAAAATGTCCTATCTGTAAAATTCTCATTTTTCGTCTTTTTGTTTATACTTGTACTTTAACATGTTTTACACCTTTAATCCTCATTTTTCTCGAAAAGTTAAAAATGTTAGGACATTCCAATTAAGGAGGGCAGAATAATGGGTCACGTGTACAAGATATTGTTTGTATTTATATAACTTAACATTTTATAATATTCAATTATTTTAGTCACATTATTTTCTTACTGAAGTCAAACGTTTCGTTGCAAATGTTTGAATATCTTTAACTTGTCTAAAGAATATATAAGAGAAAATCATTGTATTAGCTTTGTTTCGTTAGATGCAATCTGTCTTTTCTTGTTATTATTATTTGATTTATATTAGTAGAAAGAAAGCGCAATTATTGTACTCACTGTATAGTCCCACGTAGATCGGTGTCCATGTTACTTGACTGTAGACCAACGGTGTCGCTGCAAATAGCACGGCACTAAACCATACCGCCCGACGTATCGCGCTCATTTCACTAGCGGCCTCGATAGTCGTCATTTCTTCTCTCCTTTCAATCAGTTTTCCGCCTCAATATCATCTTTTCCAACATGCCTTCGCTACTTCACTCCGCTTTTGTTCGCCACGCTCGTTTCTCTCGTTCGTCTCGTTCTTTTATTCCTCTTCTCGTTTGAGAACGCGCGCACAACAATACGTCACTGCCGTTGAATATCTACGCAATCGAACGAAACTCTCGATACTCCTGTCGTTTTATTCTGTGGCGTCTAATAACCGGTATTTTTATATCTCGATGTAGAATCTTTCGGCGAACAGCTCGAAGAAAATTAAAAAAATATGCTGCAGCGCGACTTCTACACATATAATATTTGTACGTGATTTTATGAGTTCTCGAAGAAAGAATTTCATTAAAGCAGTCTAAGCATTAGCAGGAGTAAAAACTTCGATATGCAAATGAATGGTTGAGGAATGAACATATAAAAGCGAAATTAATTTAAAAAATCTAAATGGGGGAAATTAGGACGTGCTGAGGATTAAACAAAAAAAGAAAAGAAAATAAACGCGCCGAGAAGAGCATTTTTATTCGGTTGTTCTCAAATAATTAATCTCGTGAGCTTTGAGTCATGGTCGAGTGCGACGGTATAATCGACTCGCGAAGCAACGGAGTTAATTAATTAAACGCGATTACGCGTTTCCGTGGCAATTGGCGCGCGACGCGCGATTAAAATCGACGGCGTATTTACGTTGCCCTTGACAACAGATATGGAAGTTTAAAGCGAAGAGAGAAAGCAGCCGGGTTGTCGTTGTTTGTCGGACGTACTTTTTCATGCGTCATCGAGCGAGCGAGTTTTACGTCACGTAAAATTTTGCACTCGCGCTGCCGTTCCTCTTCCCGGACAGAATCTTCATTTCTGCGCGGGTCCTGATTTATGCACCCTATACTTCACGTTCTCCTCCTCCTTGAAACGTATTACTCCGTTCCTTCGGGTATAACATGACGACACAATCATCGCTCCTACCGACGGCGATCGCGAGAATAACGGCCTTCCTACTCTCCCGCCGCTCGCTCTTCTCCATCCTGCCTTTTTTCTGCACTCGTAACATGTGCCGGACCATTTCCACTATTTTCCATCGTTCTTTTTCCCTCAGCTTTCTGCCGGCTCTTGGTTTTTCTCGCTCCTTCGCGCAGACTTTTACCCGTCTTTCGTTAAATCCTTCAGCGGTTTTGCTCAGATCAAAAAAGCTTTTTTTTCTGCCGATACGAGATCCCGTCTGCAACAAAATAGCAAAACATTTCATTAGAAGAGTCTCTTTGACGGATGATCATTAAGAGATGAATCGTGGACAGGTCTCAAAGAACTGTTTTAGAAAATTGCAAGATTAAGAAACCTATTTTCCGCAAATTTGCACGGCTCCAAAAGCGGCTTTTGTAAATTAAAGTATTTCACGCTTGTCTGAAAATTTTTTGTGCAAAATTTTGGTTTTGCCAAAAAAAAAAAAACGATGAAGCGTGTTTATATAGAACATGAATATGCAACAATATTATTTACAATTGAGGTAGAAAATTATTTTAAATTTATATGTGGATTGTATTGTAAGCGTATCTAAAATGTATGTTCGTGAACCTAGCATATCATTTTCCAGCAGATCAAAAATAAAAGAGAGTTCTTGTCGCATGCAGTCGAGTTCTATAGTTCCTTATAGTTTTTAGTAACAGTTCTGGTGATTTTATCCAAAAAAACACCAATCGAAAAAATGATCTGCTAACTTCCCGTAGCAGATCATTTTCTAGCAGATCAAAAATAAAAGAGAGTTCTTGTCGCATGCAGTCGAGTTCTATAGTTCCTGATAGTTTTTAGTGATAGTTCTGGTGATTTTATAAAAAAAAACACCGATCGAAAAAAATGATCTGCTACGGAAAGTTAGCAGAATAAAAATAGAGGACACTGAACATATATGTGATATGCTGGCGTATATTGATAGTTCTGTTGATAATTAAAGAGTTTTCGTGTAGTTCTGAGCCAGTACATTGCTTTTCCAAAGAGTTCTGACGACTAAAATAATTAGAAAATTTTTTAAACAATTAATTTACCCGAAAAACGCGCATTTTTGAGCATATGTGTGATATGCTGGCCGCATATTGATAGTTCTGCTAAAAATTAGACAGTTCTCTTCTAGTTCTGGGCGAGTACATTGCTTTTCCAAAGAGTTCTGACGACTAAAATAATTAGAAAACAGAACTAGAAGAGAACTGTCTAATTTTTAGCAGAACTATCAATATGCGGCCAGCATATCACACATATGCTCAAAAATTTGCGTTTTTCGGGTAAATTAATTGTTTAAAAAATTTTCTAATTATTTTAGTCGTCAGAACTCTTTGGAAAAGCAATGTACTTGCCCAGAACTACACGAAAACTCTTTAATTATTAACAGAACTATTAATATACGGCCAGCATATGACACATATACTCAAAAATGCGCGTTTTTCGGGTAAATTAATTGTTTAAAAAATTTTCTAATTATTTTAGTCGTCAGAACTCTTTGGAAAAAGCAATGTACTTGGACCCTAGAACTTACACG